GGGTGTCCATTAATCAGTGAAACAAATGAGATTTTAAGAAGGTTAAGAAGGGTTGCCACTTAGTGTAAAACCTAGAAGTTTCGCCTCTTAAAAAATATTTAATTTTCTCCAGTTTTAGAAAAGACATAACATACGTCCACTTTTAACCAATTACATTTACCACATCTCCAGCAGCCAATCATCGCGCTGCAGTCAAACTTTGTATCTGTTCTCCTCTCTCCTGCAGCCTCCACCCCTTCTACCTCCAGTCATCATAATGGCCCTAGTCTCTGGAACCCCCTCCATGAGGTCGGCCCAGACCCTAGGGGTTTTTAAATCTACACTTAAAACTCACTTCTTCTCTCTGGCCTTCTAGTCAGAGCGGAGCACGACTCCTGACATTTCCCTGTGTGTGATTTTTTTTATTTTTGCTGTTGTAAAGTGTTTTTATTGCATGTCCAGCACTTTGGCTCGACCAAAAATGTGCTATATAAATAAAACCTGATTTTATTTTATTTGATAATCGTGAACAATCTCATCAAATCCAGATCTTCAGCACCCCTAACAGTCTCTTGACCCCTGGGGGGGGGTTCCTACTCACGGCTGCACTTCCCCCCAAAGATACATACGATATATGGATTGGGGTCTAATCGTCAAAGACCATTAACATTTCTATCATATAATACACTTGTAAATAAATGTTCTTTCGACCAAAAAATGAATTACCTCCTGATTGAAATAGATATCACATGAAAACACAGTACCATTTGTTCAGTGGTGTCCGTCACTCATGAGCCTCTTCTGCTTCTCTATTTATTCATAGTGTTTTCTCGCTGCATTATAACAGCTCCTCAGATTTGCCTCTCCTTCAAAGAGGAGGGCACCCTGGCTCTGCAAATCTTTTCAAAACTGTATTCGCCAAAAGTTCTTAAGCTTTGGAGCAGGTTGTTCACTGCTGTACTTATTTCTCTTTTTAGAAAAATACATTCAGCTCCTGTCTGGGCGCCCTGTATGTGACCTAAAGGCAGGAAACCTAAAACACATTTCCTTTCCTTTAGTGTCCATTCACACCTGGTGTTCAGAGCCACAAAGAAAGATGAGTCATAATATAAATCAGGAGAAGTGGAGGGAGCATTCACATGAAAGTGTGGCTGATCATTACCTGCCTCATACGTCTTTCTTCGCACCATAACCACTGTCATTATATATGGAGAGGCCCAGTGGGAAAATAAACAGGATGACCTGTTTAAGAGGGGCTGCAAATACATTAGTGTTATGAAGATATTCATATTAGATTATTATTTCAAATCATATGACGTTTTTCTTGAAAATGTCATGGACTCATTCCCATTGCGAGAGGTCAGAGCAGCGAAACAAACAGAACATTTAAATATGTCTGAAAAACAGTGTGAAGTCGAGATAACATTTTGAAAAATGTCATTTTAAACCCTTACAGATCACACACCCAATCATTCTGTGCACTCGTGAAATAATAATAGCCAAAAAAATAGGAATAGGAAAGTTAGTTATAAATGTATTTTCTAGTATAGTGTGTCCTTGTAACTGTTAACCGCTCAAAGATTCAGTTTGGCTGTTTGGGGTAATGTGTCGGATTAAGAAAAGCGGAATAAATGAAAAAGCAGCTAATTCGAACTAACTTAAAATGTGGCCACAGAATGCGTTTTACAATGACCACCTGAAGTTGATATGATGAATGCAATAGCACAAACGTGACTATTAACATCCAGCAGACACGGAGCAACATTGTCATTCACTTGTGATACTGTTTCTGCAAGTCCAATATTCACTCTCATTAAAGTTATGAGCCCCAACTCCTGAGGGAAATATCTCTCTAACTTAGCTCCAGGCTCAACTGTGTTCACCAGATAGCTGCTAACACTGTCTGTCTGCTGTGTGGTGCTGCAGGAATAAAGTGGGTTTATAATTCTTCATCCTGTCATTGTTTGACTTAAAGAGGACATGCTAAGCTCATTTTCAGGTTCACATCTGTATTTAGTCTCTCTACTGGGACATGTGTCCATGTTTTAAATGTTCAAAAAGCTCTTTATTTTCCTCATACTGCAGCACCTCTTTTCACCCTCTGTCTGAAACCAGAGCCCAGTCTGCTCTGATTGGTTAGCTGGCTGGCTCTGTTGTGATTGGTCAACCGCTAATAAATGTCCCGGCTCTTAGCCTATCATGTTGAATGTGTCTGAGCGCTAGCCAATAGAAGCGTCCATTGTGAAAAGGGGAGGTGATCACCAATGGCTCCAAAATATAATAATATCACACTAAGTCACATTACAATACTATTGCAATTTAAAACAATGACAATAGGCTGAACATTGAAATCTTCTGAGATTTATAACCTTTTTTCAACTGAAAGTTATTGAGTTTATTAACATCTGTTATATCTAGGATACATATCAGATCATTTTTCTGATGTCTCCATGACAACTACCCAACAGTCCTGCTGACCTCATCAGAAAGAACTCAAATGTTACCACAAAGTTAGTTTAAAAGTGTGCAAAATAGATATCTATACTTATTGTCTGTCTGTTGATATTGCCATGCAAACATATTGCAATACTTGGCTGCTTTGTTTAGAAGGTTTAGACTGTTGAAGCAGAATTTCCCCCAACTTGCTCCCTCTCAACATCCTATGGTGAGAATTAAATAATGTAAAACTTCATTATTATTCAGAAAAGTGGAAATCAGTGAAAAGCGCTCCCACTCAGCAGGACAGCTGACGTGAAGCTGTGAACGTCGCTGTCAGTCAATCAGACACACTGTCAGACACTATAGATAGTCTCCATGTCACTCACACATGCCATATGCCATCATTGGCTGCTGTCATTTAAAAAAAGAAAAACACACAAATACATATGGGGGCAGTCAATGATTACCCACATCCAAAATCAAATCTGCAGCTCCCTGTAAGTGACAGGAGGAGGAGGAGGAGGAGGAGGGGGAGGAGGAGAGCTGAGGGGGCTTTTTTAGAGAGGCAGAAGAGACAAAGACATCTGGAAAAGATGGAAAATAGGTGGTATAGAAGGAGGCGGAGAGGTGCAGAGCTTCAAAAGACTGCGCCTGCCTCTCCTCCCTCCTCTCCTCCCTCCTTCAGTGATCCTCGGAGCGTTTGAAGCTGACAGGAGGCCGGTGTTTACTCCTGTGTTTAGGCTGCGGCCGACCGGCCTCCACCTCTCTGGACACAACAAAGCGCCAGGTGTACAGGAGGGGGTTTCTGTAAATTAACTGTATGAAAGGCTGTGACCATGCTGTGTGTTGTTGGGGTTGTTTAGTTATTTAGGGATAATTCCAGTTGGGTCGTTTTACCATCAATTTTGCCATCTTTCCTAAAGAGTAACTATGAAAAGCCAAGTTATTGCTGAGATTTGTGAATGCAATGACATGGCTAAAAAGAAGCCAGTTATTAAGTTAAATATATGGATTAAAAGAAAAAATACACTCGGCTTCAAATAAAGGATCATTAGTGAGAATACAGGTGTGCTGCCTTTCAGTTTTATCTTTTTTAAAGTAGTAAAAATACTGTTACCTGTAAACTGTTGGATGTTTACAACCTGTGTGATTGTCTGGTTGATTATTTGTTTCCCTGTCAGATTTCTCTTTCTTCCCAGATGAGTTAGGGCTATCAGTTTTTATCCAAAACTCAAAATAATATAATTTGACACGTCCGACATTTTTTCAATCTAAAATGTGTCTTGTACTCGCAGAATTTCTGTAAACTGCATGGA